TTCTGGTCTCCTGGCATTTCTCCTCTCAGGTCCGTCTGTTAAAATGGCGTTATGCCACTGCCTACAAGGTGGGGTGCAAGTTTCAGCAGCACACAGGAAACAAACACAGGGCAGGCAGCAGCCCATCAGAACAGGAACTATGCACTGCCAGGAGAAATCATACACTGGCTTTTTATTTGCAAATGAATATTAAGCAAGTAGTGTTATAAAAATAAATGGGTGGAATAGCAAGATGGTTGAGGGGTTTGACAGTAGATAGATACATCTCAATCTCTAGATCATGAGATCAAATCCTGTTCATATCAGTAACAGCCAAAAAAAAGTGAAAATCTTTAAGATGTGAATCTTATTCTCAGGCTTTCTGTATGATTTAACGCATATTATCCACCTGTTTCTGCCCTGATGTCTTCTTTCTGCAGAACTAAAAGAATACTACTAAGAAGTTTTGTTAGACATTTTGGATAAGCAGAGATGAATTACATGGATATAGGTAGGTCATTCTGAGTACCATTCTCTCAAGTCAATGGAAAGCTTCTCATTGATTTAACATTTTGAATTAAGCCCTGGAGGAATAGTTATACTGTGTATGATAACCACATTAGAAAAAAAATATTTAGGCCAGCATCTTTCAAACAGCTAAATGTGTGCTGAAGATTACTTAGATTTGTGGAGTTACACGTCTACACAGAAATTTGCAGGATTAGGATCAGATGGGCATCTTCCAATAGGCAAGCCTTGAAGCCATGGAAACAACAGCTTAGTGGAAAGTTTATATGAAAGTCCTCACTCTCACTGTTATTGCCTGATAAAAATGGTTTTTGCCAGAGTTAGTGGGAAGTTAGTAATTTTTCATAAATTAAGATTCCTTTCTGCTGGAGAAACCCAAGGAAGAACACTGATCTCTGTTGCCTGGACGACATTATCCTGAAATATTCAAGTTTTAAAGTATACAGTATGCTCAAGGAATACTCAGTTGCAGTATCTATTTCATATTGGATACTCATCCCATTTATTATGTTGGCATGCACTCATATATCATCTGTGACTATTCGCCACAGCAAGTTATGTGCCAAATAATACACGAGAAATATCTGAGCTGACTTAAATGCACATGGTATTTTTCTTGCATATTTTCATGGCTACTGAAAGTAGTTAGATCTACAACCTAGAAAAAAGAGCATTCTTCCATGGTATGTGGATATTAGCAAAATAAGTACTGTTTTTCTAGTAATGTGTTTCTTAATTGAGCAGAGGGATCACCTCTACAGAATGGCTGGATTCTCTTAGCCTCAAGGCTTAAATCTCTAGGTTTGAACTCAAACCTTGGCCTTTCGGACAGGCTTTGCTGAGGATGCCTACCAGGGGCACAGCATAGCTGCTTCTTCGATGAAGACTCTTAGGTCCACATCAGGAGTGGCTGTCTCTCTTGCTGGCTGCTCACTGTAGAAGACTGAAACTCTGTTTTTTCAGAGGTGCTAAGTCATACTGAGGGACAAAAATGAGCAGGAGCTGCAAGCCTGCAATTTTGTGAAGAATCTCAATTTCTCTTAAAATAAAAAATTTAATCTCTTTCTGGAAGAACAGATACTATCAGCCTCTGTGAACACAAAGCTAAGTTTCATGCTTTCATTTCCCTTCAGTTTTCAGCTGACAGTATAGACTGTCCCAGATGTAGTAAGAATAAGCAGAAAATAAAGCAGCACGAGAATGGCATGCTGCTAAACACTTCTGATCCATTAGAGGGAAGTGTTTGTATACAATGCACTGTATACTGCCCTCCAATCTCTTCTAATAATTTATTTGGATAAAGATGATGATGAAACATGCTCTGCTGCCGACATAACAAATTACTTTATTGACAAAAGACAAGATACTGATCAGTGAATTTACTACTACCATTTTTTTTAACAAAGGCAAAATACAAAGTGTTTAGGTTTGGGGTTTTTTTTCCCCACCAGATGTTAGTAGGTATAACTTTGGCTGGTCAGTGGATAACCTAGAGGTTATGGCATCACCAAGACAGTTCCTATAATTGTGGTACTTCACAGCAAGAATGTGGTGTCCTTCCCAAGACAGGCAGCAGGAAAAGAGACAACCCACATGATATAAATCATCAAAAGTACCCAAATATGCCAAAGAAACGTTGCCAAAGAAAACAAAAGAGGGAAGACAGTAATCTTTGTGTGAGAATCTCAAGCTTCATCTAAATTAAAACTTCAGGGTACTGAAAGGTCGCGGGTGGTCTCCTGTATTGGATAAGGCGATTGTTAATTGGCCTGCCTCACATAGGTCTGCAGCCCTCCCTAACTGTGGCATCCTGTTCTGTGAATTATCTTCCATGGCCCTGTGGCTGCTTCTGATCTCTCATCTCTGTTGTTACCAGAGGATTTATGTCATGCTCTGACCCCATCCTTTAGACTACCTTTTCTGTCCAAAGGGGATACACAGGCTGACACACGATTTTCTCATCCTCAGTTTTGACTTATTAGTTCCTTTAGTCTAATTTAGAGGCATTAGTACTGCCCCTTTGGAACTGTGCATCTCTGACAGTGTAAAAGGTTTCTAGGATGAGCCAAGAAACTAGCCCACGGTTTTGATAATACCTTGCAGATAGCAGTCAGCCTTCAAATACCATTTAAACAGATCAGGAAAGAGCTGCACTGTATGAGTAATTCAACTTCTACAGGCTTTAGAGTTTGCTCTTAGCTACATATTGAGAAGTACTGCTGCCCTCTACTGTATTATTATGGGTTGTGCCTCTGATAATCCGTGACAGCCACAAGTACTCAAGCAAAATTTCTCGTCTTACCCAGAACTTAGCAGGCTTAATATTTCCATGTATTGGTAAGATCATTCAAAGGGTCTGTTTCCAATTCATCAACATGTTCTGATTCTGGAAGGGCTAGGTCAAATTGAAAAATCTTTTTAACTGATGTTGACTCTTAGAAGAGGTGGATCCTTGGAAGAGGTTGGATGTGTTTCATTGCTTCAGCAAAATGTTGTCTCTTCTTCTGATAATAAATAGCCATCAGAAGAGTAAGAACTATGGAGTGAGAGACCAACCCTGGGGCCAAAATGACTGCATCGAGGTTCTGCCTGGGACACAATGTCTCTGATAACCTGAATTTTATCTTAGATTATGATGGACAGCTAAATCCTAGTTCAATTGAATTCATCTTCCCTTAGTCTCAGCTTATTCAGTTCTGAAAGGATACAGCTCACAATCATCTCAAAAAGCTAGGTTTCTTTCTCACTGATGCTAGGAAGAATAACGAGTGCTACTTTGCTATATTCACATCCACTACACAACAGTTTCCAAACAGGAATAGCTTATTTCTTCCCAGCTCTTCACAGCCTCCAATAACCTTCACTTTTATCATTTTCATCTCCATGCCTCTGAATAGGTTGCACTGCTGGTAGGTTACAGCACCTATCATGTGCATCTAAAATAATTTTAGAATTACTTCATGCTTCCCAATCTCACAAATCCAATTACTTCTCTCCTGCAGTGCTTCCTGCACTGGAATGCAACTGTGGTGTCACCAATATAGAGTACTAAACTGAAAAATTCATCAGAGATGGGAATAGATAAGCAGATGGTAGCAGACAACTAGATTGAAGCCAGAGACACAGCCTTCCTACTCAAGGGAAAACTCAGACTGTTCTCACTAATTATCTATGCGGGTCTCCGAAGGAATGAGATACACATTGTAAAGGAAGCAGACTAAGAGCCTGGCTAATTAAAAAACTGTACTTCCAGTAGATGCAGTGAGAAATCCACTGGGTGTCCACACGTGTCCCGAGTCCCTCATTTGGTGACTACCACCCTGGTTAATATTCTGAACACTGAAGCAGAGAAACCTCCAGAACTAAAACCACAAGCTGTTACCATTTTACATCAAACCTGAAACTTCTCTTATGAGGCTGACACAATCTTCTATCTGTAGTAAATGGGAAAAGAACCTGTAATACACATTCACTAGCAAATTCCAGCCACTTTTACTTCTGTAATACTTTCAGGTTTATTTTCTGTTATTCACTGTACGACACCCAGTATTTCCAGTTTCTTCTTCACAAAATACACCTGTAACTTAACTTCACGGTTCCCCATTTCTTCCACAAATGTTATGTAAAGGCTTTTTTTCCATGAAAAGGGGAGTACTAAAAAAATCATTAAACCTGGAGTCAAGCCACACAGCCCAGCTCCAGATCTAACGTCAAAGCTTAGGTTCTTTCCACTGAACAGTTTCCTACAGGGAAAGGACGCAACAATTTTGCTTCTCATCTCTGAATGACAGTGTGACAAGGAAGGTCCTCTGCATTTTTGCCCCTTACACATTTCAATGATGACACAGAGCGATCCATGTATAGTTTAAGGATTGCAGCTCAAAGGGGGCTTATCACAGCCATGGGAGAAGGAGATCAGTACTGACAACAAAAAGATACATCTCTCTCAAAAGATTTGTCCAGTTTCAATGAGAACAGAGGACTCCAACTAAGAGTCAACAAAAGAGATGGTTCAGATGTTTTCTGCCTTTTCATGTCTGAACATATAATTTCTCTCTCCAGCATATTCTCCCTCTCACATTCTCAGCATCATTCAGATCATCTGGCCTCATTTGAGAGGAGAAATCTCATGTCGTATATTTTGGCAAACTTATGGTTGCCAAAGGAGATTACAATACTCAAATTACCTCTACAAATATAACAAATCTGACACAGCATTAGCAGTGCAATAGACTTTGTACATCACCATTAAAAGAAAAACATGGAAACCACAGATCCATAGAAACTAGTGCAATTAATTCCCTATCTCACACTTCTCCTGATGACTGCAAAGCTAAAACACTCAAAATATTTCTGAAAATTAGCAACTCTGCTCTAAAATCAGCAAGAAAAAAAAAGCCTTTCCTATGAGAATTTTTTGTATTCTCTGCAGTTGCACGAGGACATAACGGAACATGGACCAATTCTTAATCTCCAGTTGTCAAAATACCCACCTCTAGGACCTTCCCAGTAATGAACTGGTGACATGCTTCACATTTGACTCCAAAAAGAACTTGATAGTCCTTTTCACAGTAAGGAGCACCATCCCTGAAAAAGAAAATCCACGAATTACAAATCACCTTTTAAGAAACGGGTTACAGCATGACTTAGTCTTCCCTTGTCTTCAGTCTGGAACCCGTACACACACCAATAGGCAAATGGGAGAGAATTCAAGGGAAATGTTTCGTAGTAGAAGGAAAAAAAAAAATCATATTCTTACTAGTGCCTCTTAGAATTACTCCTTAAATTCCCATCAAGAAAAGGCATCCAGGACAAACCACTGATATAAATCTCATTCTTTGTGACAGACTCTCTACACCTACAGGTGGTGCAATTCTAGGGAATCAGTGGAATATGTCCATGGGGATGAAAGGAGATCACAGTCGTTACCATAGGCAGGTAGTTTTTGTTCACTTCAACAAAAAAATCTTTGATAGTCTGCAAGAGTATAAGCAGTTACTTTTAAGTGTAAGGTTATATAATTTTTTTTAGAATGAACAAGGAACGTACAGTAAAAGTAGAAACACTAGTCAGCTTAGGAGCATTTCTCAGGCACTGAACTTCCTTTGAGAAATTAGAGATGCTACTTTTTACTAAATATTATGCACTCCTTAATGACAGGTTTGTGAAACACACATTGTTTCCCTATTTTTTCCTCTTTGTTATATGCTTGAAGGAGGGAACAGAGACTGTATCTTCAATCCCTCTATTTTATCATTATACTACTTTTCCCCATTGTCTTCCTCTACACTTCATTCCACTCAAAACTCTCTTCATTAGTTTTATTACACGGAGATGAGAAACACAGTATCAGGTCAATCATCAAGTTTACTCTATTCTCTAGCAAAGGCAAGCAATGGACAGGTTCTTACCTTTTTCCCTCAAAGAGGGAAAGCAAAATGGCACAGAACTTTAGCTGGCTAACTCAGAAAACTCATGCAGGAATTCACCTAATCCTTTGTGGAAACATGGAGATATACCCCCTTCTGTATTGGTATTAAATACAGACTACTATCACTTAAAAACACCTTTTGGTTGCACTTTTCAGTTTAGTTTCCTTTCCCCAGTCAGCTCTCACTGGGAACCAAGATTTTGCTGTATACGGAAAGGTGGTCAAAACTGGAATTTCAAAGGTGAACTTTGCTGCAAGCTCTTCTCCATTGGCAACAAGAACTCATGCCAAGAGTGCAGAAGAGATGCAGAGGTTACGTACTTGCTGATGTATTCCCCGGTTAGGACCTTCCCGCAGGCCTTGCACTTAAAGCACCCCAGATGCCACTGCTTATCCAGAGCTAGCAGTGCTTGTCCATTTTTTATGTCTCTTCCACAGCCAGCACAATCTGCAAATAAACAAACAAATGCACTTGTTGTCAGTTACTTGGTTCATTAACCCCCGTTAACCACCCACCACTGCAACATTTGATAACCAAAGGGGAGAATTACACAGCAAAGCAAAGGCACATCATCTTTTCCTCAAACGCTTCCCGGATCCTAGACAAAGACTGCATCTTTGTCACTACAGACACAGTCAGCAGAAGAGGCAAAGTACCTCTTCTGTTTTTCATGCTGTTTATGATTCAAAGACTGCCAGGCAAGCTCTGTACAACCTCCTTTTGTTGGGAACGAACTATAAAAATCATCACTGCAAGAAGCTCCTGTATTATAAAGCAATCAGCGTTATTTCGCGTTTTGCTTTTTGCAAGATCTTGACCGCTTACGGGAAGCTAAACGCGGAGGCCTGGGCGAGCACCGCCAGCCAGGACCGCGGCACTTCCCCGCTGGGTGGCAGCAAAGCCCAACGTGCCCAGCGAGCTGAGGGGCGGCGGCGCAGCCCAGCCAGGCGCCGGGGAGAGACCTTTCCTGAGGGAGGGCCCACGGCAAGGCTGACGGCAGGGTGGCAGCAGCGAAGGCTGCACGGCAGGGCACATCGTCTTCCACCTGCAGGTGTGGGCAACCGTAGTTCTCATGGTCTCTAGTCAGCATAAGGACTCTCGCTCAGGGATTTTGGTATTACCTTGGTAGTAGGCACGTTTCACCGCGATTCTGAAGGACTCTTTAATGGCAGAATGCAAACCTGAAGCCAGGAACGCTGAATGCCCTCTGTCCCAGAGGATGCCACAATGCCTTATGTCACATCAGAAATCTCTGGCTCAGCCCCAAGCTCCCATTCCTCTCTATTCAAAATACTCCTGGTAAGGGGCAATTCAGCACATGGCAAGATCTGAAGAGCCTGACGTGGCAGGCAGCGCTGAACTGCAAGGGTTGTGCTACAGCTTCTGTGCCCAGCCTCAGGGGACAGGGGGGCCGAGGGAAGGAAAGACCTGGAAGACCAGTGAAGCAGAAAGGGAAGCTGCCTGTCAGCTGAGGCACACATGGAAGCCACAGAGGAGACAGCCTGGAACAAAGGATTTTCCATATTTTATTACCCCCAAACTCGGTATTCCTTTGGTGAATGTAACATCCTCTCCATACACCTGGCAACATCAACAAATAGCAACAAACCAAGACCAACAGAAATAGAGCAATCCGAGCAGTTAAAGCAATTAAGGCACCAGGAAAATCATCCCGTCTGCGCTGCTCAAGCTGATTGAACAGGTACAGCCTGAAAACTTTCACCTCCTCATGGGTTTACAGCCCACACCTTGCAAAAGGGTCAGCTCAAGTTTATCATCTCAACTGATAATGAGAAAAGAGTCACTCCTTTTGACACTAAAGGGCCTGACTTTTGTTTACTGGATAACCAGCCAAGAGAGCCCCAAATATATGCCATACTTTCCTGCTATCCAGGTCACCATTTGCAGCACGTACCTCCTCCTGTCAGCATTCCTCTCCTCAACTCCCTTTAAAAAAGGGACTAAGCACCATGGTATCTTGCGATAAAATGCAAGTCACAGATTGTTGACACAACTTGGACTTGAAAAGCAACCCTGAGATGTCCTAATATCAGGACTTTGCTCTAGAGGACAAATGTTACAAATTGAAACCATGAAATGACAAGGGCTGACAGCATGTGATGGATTCCTCTGCTCTTCCGTGCCAGCTCAAGGCTCCATGCCACTCTGTAACAGCAGCAAAGGCTGGAACAGGTCACCAAGGGAGGCTCTGGAATTTCCAGCATGGGGCTGAGGAGGGGACAAGCAAACATCTGTCAGGATGGCTTTGGCACACCTTCGGTTTTGGGAGGATACTACATCATCTCTTGAGGTCCCTTCCAGCCTGTGTTTTCTTATGCTAAATCCAAAACCATGCCATTTGCCTTCCAACTGTGACAACAAATGGGATCTTTCCTTCAGTCTCAGTGGACACTGAACTGCAGCATTAAACAGCACCAATTTCTCAGCTTCCCAGCACTACTGCTTCTCCCTAGTGTGCCAGCTTCTACATTCCTGACCTGGGGTCCAGCCAAACTGTGATACATTCCCTGTAACATTAATCCCTCAAAAAATCTCCTGTATTTTTCATGCTTTTTTCAGCTTTATCCATGAAGCTTCCATGAAGCTGAAACTTCTCAGATACAGAGCGAAAAAAGAGATTTTTAAAGCACTTAGTTTTGCTTCTAACTGAATTTCTGAAGCAGTCAGAAGAATTGCTTTACACAAAAGGTCTACCTAGTCCAGTATCTTTGTTTTGGCACCAATCCGGTTACACGGAGGAAGCAGGGATCCATGAAGTATCTTTATCCGTTTAATTGCTTTTTGTAAGCCAAAGGTGGTGTTGCCACACTTACTCTTGTGCTCATGTATGGTAAAGGTTGATAACATGTTTTTATTATTCTATAGCAACAATGATATTTACTTACTCTTTCTGGGTTTCTTGAAGTGTTTTGCAAGAGCAAATTAACATCATTATTTCCATTCTGCTAATATTACAGATATGTTGAATATCTAGAATCAAAGGAAACTAATAGCCCAGTACTGTCTTATCAGGCTGAGATAGCTTTTAACTAAGCCTGATTTTAACTCTGGCAAAACAGTTGGGTATATACATGAAAAGCTAGCAATTATCATTATCTCCTAAAATAGAAAGCAAATAAGGCTGGGCTGGGCTAAGAAAAGACCATTTGTTCATCCAAATTCCACAAATAAAAGCCATTTATGATCTCAGGCCTGCAAGAAGCACATTAAACCCTTTGGCTCAATGTCATCAGCACACAGCATATACAGGCAGGATCTCAGGGTCACACTAAGCACAATCTGTATTGGTCTAACCTATAACCAGCACATGCTGCAAATAAAAGGGCCATTAGGTAAGACTAGTGGTCCACAACCACATGCCAGAGCAGACCTGTACTAAAAAAATCTGAAAACCCTTCCCAAAATTTTGTGGAATGCTTCCCACCATGGTTCTCTCCGGCTTCATACCTGGGTCTAACAAACTGCACCCCTTGACCTTGAGCTGTCTTGTGTTTTCTTTTTGTCATATAACCCACTCTTCCCTACTTCCATTCCTTGCACATCCACGTATTCAGCTGTGCCAGTATAACGAAGAGGAGGAGGAGGGATAAAGTGCGGTTAAAAGTACTGTTTAAAATGCAGAGTGAGCAGTACAGTTCCTATATGCACTTACGATCAAAAGAAAAGCATACCACAAAAAACACTATGTAAGATTAGACATTTCATGGCACTGATTCCCCTTAAGAACTGGGAAGTAACACACGTTCATATGTGTTGTGTCCATGCTCAGAATCTTCAGCTGTGTAACAGCTATTTCTCACTAAAAGCACTGCTGTTAAGGACCCAATCAGAAGAAGGTTATCCAGGAATGTCAGGAAAATAATGTATTCCCCCAAGATCCATCCTAAGCAGGGAAAAAAAGATTGTATCTGACAGTACTGGACATAGTTACCCAAATCACGGTGTAGCCTCCCTGGGCTGTCTGTGACAGCAGCTGCAGCCTCCACAAGCAATGTCCACTTGCTCAGACATTGTGTGTAAAAATTGAATTCACTCTCTCATAACAGCGTTAGCTGACAGTACCATTTTTTAGCCAAACAAAAGCTTCTTACGCAATTCTTTGCCAGAGATGCTTAAACATACCTGTTGTGTCTTTCACATACCCTGGCTAGGCCTGCTCAATCTGAAGATATATCTTAACACATTTAAGCTACGGGTCTGGAATAAAATAGCCCAGAAGGATGTCATATTTGATGTGTTCAGATACAAAAGCAAATGCCAATGCCTGGACAAAAGGGCTGTAATGTGGAGTCAGCCAGCCCAAAAGCATGGAAAAGTGGGGGGACAGGACAAGGGAAAGTAGCACGGCAGTATAATATTATATAGGATTAAGATCTCCACCCCCAAGCATCTTAAGCAGCCTAAGATGAACTAAAAGATGAACTAAAAGATGAACTAAAAGATGAACTAAAAGATGAACTAAAAGATGAACTAAAAGATGAACTAAAAGATGAACTAAAAGATGAACTAAAAGATGAACTAAAAGATGAACTAAAAGATGAACTAAAAGATGAACTAAAAGATGAACTAAAAGATGTAGGCCAGGGTGAGCCGCCATCCATGACACCTTGCTTGTAAAGATGCAATGAGAAAATGTGTTTCCCTTTTTAGCATCTGCATCACCCCAGACATCCAGGAGTGAAGCATCCTGCACAGCAACCCATTCGTCACTGCCTAAATTAAGCGGTGGATTTTCCTCCTCTGCCTCCCTCCCCTGCTCTCAGCCAATAGCAGGGCCCTGAGCACAGCACAGCGGTGGGCTCGGAGCCAACACGGGTGTATTAACCCTAAACACACTGCGTTTGACTCCCATTTGGATTGCTTTGAAAATTATAAATATATCTTTATCTCACATTCTCTGCTCACCCCATTTAAGTTATTAAAGGGAAATCATCTCTACTTGCTTTAGTCCTAATGAACATGGTTATGCAAAGTCATGTGCAGGGACAGTCTTCCAGGAGTGTATTAACTCTGCCTGGTGCAGGGTTAGCTCTTGTGAACAGAGCTAATTGCAGCCTGAATTAATGATGCATACTTAGGTCACCAAAAAGTTCCTTTCAATCCTGAAGGCCATTAGTGGCACATGTCTAGATAAAGGCTGAAGCTGCCACAAGCCCTACAAGTCGCAGGAGTAATACTCTTTTTACACTCTTTTTGATACCGTTCCCCTTCCTATAAAACACAGGAAAACTAGTTTTACAAAGGCAGCACCAGCAGGCTTCTGCCCTGAAACAGGTAAAGCAGGGCAGAATGAGGGGGATTTTTATAATTATTATTGTTTTAATTTTTAAAAGAAACAAACAATTTTTCTTTGGACTTACACAGAAATACATTGTCAAACATAGTTGGACCTAAAGGGCAAGCTACGAGGAACAGTGACTTAGAAG